CAGGGGAGTCCAAAGGCATATTTGTGTGCTCACATATGTTCCTACAGCATAAAAGTTACAAGTCTGATGAGAAAGCAGCACAACTGAGCTCTTGCTGGCTGCAGAAGGTCAGGACATGCTGCTGTCTGATCGCTCAATAACAGGAATAGGTTTACATAAACACACCATACTAACATCCACCACACTCTCCAAGTTTCAGTGCTCTTTTACTCTGAATTCAGGAAGCCCAGGAAAGGAAGTAGGGGGCTGGCTCAAACACTGACTCACACTCAGTGCAGCTCTACTATGGAAGTCACGTTGCAACAACGTGAGCATGTTGTAACATATGTACAACCCTGCTATTAGAAGCACAGGCTTGCTTTTGTGTTGGCACATAGATATGGATGGGCACTAAAATCAGCCACTCCATACTTCACAGTTGTCCCCAATGAGGGCATAAATTCCAACCCAACTACCCGGGTACATTCTGTCCGACAGAAGGCATGCAGAGAAAAAAAACACATGCATTGTCTTGGAAACACTGTGCGTGTACACAGGTAGAAAGGTAGAAACTGGGATTAAAATGAGAGGAATCATTGTGAGTCAATACACAGCTCCTTGAGTCCATGATATCCCAGATAGAAGTGAGCCAACTGTCACAGACATAATGCACAACGTAAGACAAATCAATAGGCTGCGAAGCTAAGCACTGACTATTTACATCCTCTTATAAGGTTACATGCTACATCACCTTAACCTGCTTTCATAGGTTAGCCATAAACCATAATAACTTCCTTTACAACAGGTCCAGACAAATTAGACGGTGAAAAAAATAAACATATAGACAAGTAGCTGTAAAAGCAGCCAATTTGACCTAAAGACTGAAGCACTCAAACCACCTGCACTGATGGTCACAGGTCCAGCTAACACATCAGCCACAATTAGTTTACTGCACATATATTGTTGATATGTAGCAAATCAGCTGCAGAACAGAAATGGTCACTTTTATGTTAAAACAAATGTACTATTGACCACTATATAATATCAGTTTCAGCCTTTAAAAATCCAAAACTGGGTCAGGCTATAATCCAGTTAAACCTTTTCTATAAAACAATCTGGACAGAAGGTGAACTTTATGTCTCCAAAAAAGAAAACAAACAAAAAAAACAAAACAAAACAATGACACACCAAATCTAACTAACATTTTAGAAGCTGCACTGATAATATAAACTGCTCTTTGACTTATGATTTTGATTCCATACAAGTGTTGTTGTGGGGTTTTGTCCAGTTAAACCCTTACATAGCAGACATTGTATTAGGAGTAATGAGCCAGGCTAGGTCTGTAGATAAGCATGGCGTTCTGGAGAGTTGTGACAGAATTGCATCTAAAATGAGTCAGACAAAAACTGTCATTGTGATTGAGCAACAGAGTCAGTCATAGAGGCAGGAAATCTGCTAAACTGTTTGGCTTTAAACCCCGAGAAACCAAACATTGTTTGGTTGCCACATAACTTTTTTCCAGATCTGCAATTTTGTACAGTTTGTTCAGTACAATCAGTTTTCAGACCAGCACTCTTTCTCTTACACCTATATGTAGAGTAAATGTGCACAAGGTCAACACTGACCTGCTGTGGTTCAGGGATCACGGGTGACCAGCAGAGCTGGACAAACATGCTGGACTTTCACTGCTGCCTGAGCAAATGTCACACTGAGCTGACAACTGCCTCTAAATAACTTAGAAGAAACCTCTCCTGTGTTTTATATATGTGCACACAGACACACACGCACGCACGGAGAACATGTCTAATCCACAGCTGGGAAATATTAACTAGATCAGGGTAGTTAGAGCCATCAGTTAACAGAGGAACGGCATGAGTAGACTCACAAAAACATAGAGACCAGCACATGGGAGTTCATTCCCTTCATCATGTCTTTCTTCTTTGTGCTTACTGTGTGCAGTAGGTGTGTTTAGACACTGTATGAAACCATTCTGAAGTGAAAACGTGTCATTTCTAACTTCCCATTCATTGAAATGACCGCAGGCAAGACATTCACATGCTCTTGGTCAGTGTAGATGTGGGTTTGCAAAGGATCAGCATTTTGCTAACAGTAACAAAATAACAGTACTCAGAGACCTTAACGCCAGGAACAACGTTGATCAAAACAACGACACTTGGTAGTAGCAAACTGATCTCTCTGGCTGATATAGTCTGAAGAACAAACTGTTACATATATGTGATATATATATATATATA